GCATCCTGGCCAACAACGGCAGCATTGCCTGCTCGCCACCCTTCTCCTCCAAGGCCAGGTCGCAGCGTAAGTTGGGAGATGGGGGAGCGGCATCACCTGCTCCTGGCTGAGCCCCTCCATCGCAGATTGGGGCGTGGGGAACAGGCATGATGGACACAGGTGGCTTCAAATGACCCTTCTCCTCTTCCAGAGATGAACATGCAGCTGTTGATCCCACAAACCTTCATCTTGGCAGTGGTGACGCGGACATTCTACCGCAAGCAGGACAACAAGCCGGGCTACCAGCCTGTCAGCTTTGCACCCGCAGGTGACAACATCGAGGAATGAGCAGGAAGGAGCAAAGGGGATGCTGAGGCGCAGGGTGAGGCGAGGGCTGCTCTGCCCTGTACAGCCATCTCCTCCTCCCCAGCCCCAGCCAGCTGCCAGCAGAAGAGGAGGCAGAGGGGGAACAGGCACCTTGGCACAGGGTGAAAGGATCTGAGACCTGAAGGCCACAAGACAAAGGGATCTGTGAAGCCACCTCCAGCCCAGGAGGTTCTTGTTTGGCACTGAATAAAGATAAATTTCCACCCGAGCCTCACGCTAGTGATTGGGCCGAGATCGTCTGCTGCCCAGGCTGGGTGGGAGATGACTCCACACAGGAGGACAAAGATGGAGCCCAGACCAGCACAGCCATGGCATGGGGCTGGCATGGGGTGTCCAACACCCAGCCGTGACACTGACATCTGGGTGCTGCTGGCCAGGGTCCAATGGTCAAGGCAATGCCAGGGCAGTGGTGTTTTCTTCAGAGACCTCTGGATGGGTCTGGCACATCCCTGGGGCACATCCTCCACAGCAATGGCTGCTCCCGAGAGAACAGTGGGAGCATCCGCACCCATCAGCCTGGGGTCAGGCAACGAAAGGAGCCTGGAAGCACCTTCATAACACAGGGCAATTAGTTAGTGCTGCCTTAACCAGCCTTGTCCAGGATCTGCTTCGGTAGCAGGATCTGCACACCACCAGCAACAGAGGTGGGGATGGACATCAGAAGCAATTATGACTTGCAGAAACCTCTGGGTTATCCTTCCCCCTGCACTGAAGCATCTTCACCCTCAAACCACTGCTCAGATGGCAGGTGAGGAGAACACGACGTGAGCTGGCTGTGCCAGGAAGGCAGAAGGGATCTGGCATATGCTGAGTAAAATGACTTTGCATTTATTTGGCTAAACATAAAAGCCAAATACCCAACTCCAGAACAAGCCAGTAAGACACATGGTATGCACACAGGCCCATACAGAAAAACCAGCACAGCAAACACTGACTGGGAGGAGCCAGCTTCAAGCAGCCACTGCTGTGGGGCTGGAGGTGACAGCAGGCCTGGGTGATGCCATGGCTGGAGGTGGGCAGCAGATGCCAGACCGTCAGTGCTAAGACCAGAGCCTGCTGCCAGGCATCGCTAAAGCTTCCCCTGACCTGCACCCTGGTGCCCTCCCACCACAATACCTCTGGCCAGCACGACACATTGGGGAAGCAAAGAGTCAGAAAGCCAAATCTCCCCACTTTTATTTATTTAGTTGATTCCCTTTGGGGGAAAAGCAAATTTTCTGCCCCACGTATAAGGGGAAAAAGGGACTCGGAGCTTTTTTCCAGGTGGCTGTGTTCAAACCGAAACCGCTCAGTCAGAAGATGCACTGGTGATCAGTTACGAGATTCCTGGCAACAGTACATACCCATTACCAACACGGCTTCCTAGGCACGAGCGGACGTGCTGGGACGCAGAAATCTCAGAGTTTATGACAGGAAACAACATCCAGGCAAGCAGCAAAACGCAGAACTCGTCCTCCCGTCAGTCAACCAGATCCAGCTCCTTACCTGCAGCAGGTGGGAAACCCACACCTTTACACCAGGGAGCCTTTGGGAGCAAGAAGGCCTTCCTGAGGGCAGGAGGCAGGGTCTGTCCCACCAAAGTCACCACTACTGCCAAGTGTATTTGCTGCTGCAGCACCTGTCTTTGGTTACAAGAACTAGACCACACGATAAAGCCCCCAGCCTCTATAAAATGCATGAACCCATGTCAGTGCAGGTGTGTGCCACAATTTCCTCAAGAGACTATAAACCTCCTCCTGCAGCTCTAACCAGCATGCTGTTGAAGTGCCAAGCTCTTCATGTCTTGCTTCCACCAGCATTCCTTGGCACCTTTTGGCTTTGCCCTGCTGCTGCTGTTCTCTGCCATCAGAAAATCCTCTCCCAGGGGCTGGCTGCTGCTGCCAGCAGCTTCACATCCCAGATCTACAGAGCAACTGAGGTAGGTCTGTCTCACAGGAGTCAACATCTCTGGATTTAGCAGCATCAAGCTCCACATGTTCTTCAATACATGATTGCAAAGTTCTATTTTTCCACTATACCTCTCACTTCATTCTTAATTCAAGTGTGTCTCTTCTGGATGCTTCTTTGGAAGAGTGTGGGAGGGGTTAGGGGTGTGCAGGACATCCCTGAAGCAGCAGCACTGAGTACATCTGTGGGTAACAAGAAGTTCCTGGAGAACGTAGCTCACATCTCTTGCCCAAAAATCAAGCTCTGTCCTATTGCTGATAGGACAAGGCAGCACTGGAGATGAGGATGGTCCAGAAATCCAGGAGGAAATTTAAAAAAAAAAAAAAAGACTAGTCTGGGATTCGAGTGTCCATTTTAATTTAAGTGCAAGGAGGAAGGAGAGATTATTGGTTACAAGAAACAGCTCTGTTATTCCAAGCTACATGTAAAACCATGGCTGGCTTTTACCACGCACCCCAAATTTTGCAGAATGACCAAGAAATACGTTAAGCTTTCCGCAGAACAAACCACCATCCAAAACACCATTGTTATCCAAAATTACAGAACACTGTTACATAACTTGTGTTTAAAACAGCAGTAAGGCTCTAAAGCAGCCTGGCCTTTGAGATCCAGCTCAGGAAAGCAACGCAACACCCATATTGAGGGAATGGTGAGGATGAGAAGGTGGGGAGGATGAGGGAAGAGAGAATGTGGGTGATATAAAGCAAGTGCTCTACCACTCATAAACCAGGGGATTAACAACTGGCTTGTACTAAGTGACCATTATTTGCTCCTTACAGCTTAAAATCCATAGCAGCCAGCCAGGCTCCCAGAGCTGTGCATGTCTCTGCTGAGACAGGTCCAAGTGGCAGATGAGGAATCCCCAAAGTACCCGCTCCCCTCTGGCCTCAACAGACGCACAGAGTCTCTGTCAAGCTCTTTGGGCAGCATGACAAAGGATCACCACAATAAAAGCTGGAAAGAAGTGGCAGCCTGCTCCTACCACAGGGCCCTGCATCCCTTGGAAGCATCGCACCGCGTAGACCCTGGGGTGGGCACTTGATTTGCCTCCTCGCACCTGCTGCTCCTCAAGCCCAGCATCCCGCTCTGAAGACCTCCCTGCAGCACTGCTGACCCGGATCCGAGCTGCCCTCTGCTCCCAGCATCGCAGGAGGATACGGGCAACTCAGCCCGGCAGCTCCACCCAGAGACAACGGATATCACAGGCAAACCCAGACAGAAAAGCAAGTGGGAGCTCCACAGCTACGCAACAGCAAGTCCAGTCTCTCCGGCACTGGCTGCAGGGTCAGCGTGCACCGACGTGCTGGTACACTGGCACGCAGCACGGGGAGGGCAACTGCCTGCAGGGAGCTGCTGGCCACAAAGCTCGGCGTTTATTACAGACACGACAGCAGGCACGACTTGGACCACGGTTTCTAACGAGCAGATTGGATGTTAAAATCCTAAAAAGCCGCAGCGCCCTCTGATGTTCTTTCTGACCTGCCTCAAGGAGTGGAGCAAGCGAGCACCAATTTGTGCATTTATTGCACAAGCCGGGTATCCCGTCACATGGCACCGGGACCCTTCACTGGGGTAAAACGTGCCCTTCCTCTCTCCAGCTGCACACACCAACACGGACAGCGCACCGGCTGTACGAATTCACGTTTTCTCCTTATAGCAGCGACTTCACGGCACCAGTGTAAAGGACTGCTCCAGCCCTTAGAGCACAGCGACTGAAACACAGACAGACACGCACAGAGCACAGCATTGAGGGGCCACGGGGACAGACAGTAAAACTTGTTACACACCAGAGACTGGGACGAGGAACTTCTCACAGGAGTACACACATTCATTTCCTACCTGGGCTCTTACACACCCAAGGAAACGCATGGACAGCAAGTGCCCCGAAGCAAATATTCATTCTCTTCTCTCCAACAGCAACTGAGGGCTGAATTTTAGCTCAAGATTTAGCAGTCTTTTTAAGGTTAGCTGGAAAGGCCTTGCCCCTGCAGCTCCCCTACAATTTGGAGCCGCAAATGCTGTGCATTTACATGGTGTACAACCCTATGGTGCTGCGAGTTCTTCCAGGGTGCAAGTCCTCTGTGCTAAGCTGGTAGCCCCCTCCCCAGCACATCCTCACCACAACACGCTGGGAAGCTCAGCCACGAGGCACACAAGCACTACAGGGTCTGCTGGATCAATTCCTATCGGCTTCAGCGCAGCAGAGACATCTCTATTTCCTAGAAGCCTCTTTACACCACTGCTTCTTGCGTGCTCTCGAGGTCATGCTGGTTGAGGAACTGAGGGGTCTCTCGTTTGGCAGCGTCATGGATACTGCCTGGGGGTCAGGCGGGAATAAGACAGAGGAGCTGAAGGAAAGAAAGGACAGACGGGGTCTTCCCACTCTCCCTCTTGCCTGGAGGTCTAACAGGGGAAAAGAAACCAAAACAAAAGCCATGCTCCAGTGCTACTATTTGCGCTTTAAAAGAGTATTTTCTTAAAATATAAAAACCATCTTCCCCCTGGAAACCACTAGAACGTAAACAATAAAAAGGGGATTTGGGGAGGAGAAGAGAGAAGAGGTTTCAATGTGCTTCCAGGCAGCAGCCCTTGCTAAGAGCAACGGGTGCCTCCAAGGCCCTGCGCTCACCGTCAGCCCTGTTCCTATGGCTCTCTTGCTCATTTAGAGTTCCCCAGTGAGTCCGGACTTAGGATTCGGCGATTAGCGGTTCGCAGCAAATCCCGGCTGATAGCTTAATCCTCTTCATCCTCGCTGATGTCGTAGGTGACTGCAGACTCATTCCTGGAGCGGTTGGCCGGTGAGGAAGGAGGAGTCTTGGTTGAAAAGGGCCAGCGGAAGGAGGGAGACGGGGAACGGTCGTGCGTGGGGCTACTGCTGGGACTCTGCTTTGGGCTGATGGCCTGCAGCATCCGGCCCTTGCCCTCCTTCAGCATGTGTTTCTAACAACGAAAGAAGGAAGACAGTTAGCATGGCTCAGACAGCGATGGAAAAGGACACTACTTACAGCTCGTGC